TGTATCTTTGATTTTTTTTCTTTTATTTTTATTTCTGTCTCTTTTCTATTTTCTACAGAATTTTTCACTTCTCGTTTACTGATTTTATTTCATTCTAATTGTATGTTTTCTTTCTAAGTTTAATGCGCCATATTTTCTTTTTAATTTTCTTCTTTTTCTTTTGTCTTCTTTGGTGTGTCCCTCGTTTTTCTCTTCCATAAGTATTATGCTTGTTTTTAATAATACTTCACCTTCTTGATATATTTTTCTTTCCTTGTTTCCCCACTTGTTTTTTTTTTACGTTATTCCCCCTTCTATTTTATTTGTACGCTTAATGCGCCATATTCCTTTTTATTACGAAGCGTTATCCTTTTAATTTTGTTTTCTTCGTTGTGTCGCATCATGTCTCATTCTTTGCATGTTCTTTTCCTTTTCTTACCACTTCTTTCTCAGGTTATCTTCCCTTTATAGAATTTTTCTTCTCACCTTCCTCTTCACTATTCTTTTCATCCTCCTTTACAGTTTTCTCGTTACCCTTTTCTTCTGTTTTATTCGCTTTTCTCCTAGCATCAGCATGAATTGAAATTATCATTCTTTTTATCCTCATTTTTAATACGTATTATCACCGATTATAAATCAAATCAGTTTTTTTTTTTTTAAATTTTTATTTTCATTGTTTTATTTTTTACCCGGAAAATCTCTATTTCATCTTTTTTTTCTATCAAATCTTTTATTTAGCACTGAGTCCATTTAACTTATCACATGTTTTTATCTGTCACCAGATACTTAATACGATATCTTGCTTTTTATACATTTTCTCTTTCCTTTTTCGCTTTAATTCTTTTATTCAATTCAGTCTTTTCTTTTTTTCCTATTCAGCATCATAAACATTCTCCCTTCGTTTTATTCCTCATTCCTGCACATGAGTGGGTTCCCATATCACTATCAATTACCCCACTCCACCTCGACAGGCAACATTCAGATTTCTTTAACCCGAAAGAGATTTTGGATAAGACACCAGCGTCCCTGTTTTCCAGAATACAATAATCATAAAACAGGAACAATCGAGTCTTTCATCACGTGTTTTGTTAGATTTTGACCTTCCACAGACACCCTTTGATTGAGTGTTTAATGAAGCAGCCACTTAATTTGGAATAGGTTGCTATGGTAGATATATTGTAAAATAGTGTACATAAATTTTCAAATTTTGGGGAATAGGAAATACAAACACAAATTCGAATGTATATATACATATACATATATATATGTATGTACGTGTATATTTTATTGTGTATGTGTGTATACGCATGTGTTTTTGAACATAAATATATAAGTCCTTGCTAGATTAGATAATCGTTATATTTATTTGTTATATGTTTATATTTGATTTGTAACCTGTAGTCGATATTAATTTTGTCAATTTTTCTTAATTACTCAGCGGCCCTTTCAGTAAATGTCCTTCAGTTTTAGTTTCCCCCACCCCATCTCTCTCCCCCAACCCTTTTTCTTTTCTTTTCCTCTCCCTCCCTCTTCTTCTGATCTTTAAGATTAGATCGTCTATTGTGTGTGTATGCCACAACAAAATGTATCCTTTCCGGTTACATCTTTAATGTATTAGACATCTGACAACATTCATATTTCTCTCACTTAAACCTCTTCAACTCACCTCTCTAAAACTTCTCCATGCTAAGGTTTAATCTCCCACCTTCTCTCGTCTGTTACCCCTCTCTTTAGCTCTAACATTCGTCCCACACTCTCATACTTACACTCTCTCTGAATTCTATTTTTATTTCCGGAGTTGGTTTTCTGTTTTCTTTTTGAATTTGTAGGTCTGATGTGTTGGATCGTATTTACGATTCCAATGGGATAAATTATGACCATGGAATATTAGTGTTTAAGCCTTTTTATTATATATATATATATATATATATATATATATATATATATGATCATTTGACTCAAATAAAAAACACAAAGCCACTAATACGTATGGGTTACTGAGTGTGAGAGAACATGAGAAATTAAAGACATAGATAATTAAAGAGAGAGAACAATAAAAGAATGGGAATTAAGAAAACTTGTGATAATGATTAAAATTTCATATATATATATATATATATATATATATATATATATATTGATACTTATTTTTAATACCCAACACACGCCTACCCAATTTAAACATTTCGCCCTAGCTGTAACCATGGAAATTTTGATTTCAATTATTAAAACACGTAAATTTCAGAAAAAGTTATTCCCCTAAAAATGTCCCTTGAAGATGGAACTGAGCTTACTTTAACTCAATTTAATTCAAATAATTATATTGAAGTTTTCGGCTCTTGTTTTATTTATGCTCTACTTTTGTATCGAGCACTATTTTTCAAAAATAATAACTAAAATACTAAGGAACTTTGGATTATTTACCTAACCAATTCTTTCCTATTTTCTATATATTTTCACACACACACACACACATATATATATATATATATATATATATATATATATATATATATATATATATATATATATACACCACGAGTAAAACGTTTGGGGACACCCAATGGGTCTCGAAGAAGCGCCTAATAATTGAAGGTAATTGACATTTTTCAAAAAGAAATCACTATGTCACTTCGAACAAGACGGACTTTCTCTTCCTAGGGAGGTCTATCATATATTCACTAATAATAATCTCTGGGCCTCGTGAAAAATAAATGAAAATTTTAGTAACAGTGTCATAGTTATCGTCAACATACATCATGCCCAGAAGAATGTTCTACTAGGATCATTCTTAAAAGTGCTATCGATTAAATGTCAATAAAATAGCAGGCTTATACTTAACATCAGGAAGAGGCAGCTGAAGTATCTGGGACACATAATGAGGAAGCAGGGCCTGGAGAATCTGATACTTACGCGTCGAATAGAGGGAAAGATGGACAAGGGAAAACCGCGTGACATATCTAGCGGACTTAAGCAAGTGGATGCCAGAACGTGGTCGCAGGAGGAAGGGACTTGTTGAGAGCCGCAAGGGATAGAGGGAGGTGTAGAGCCATGATCGCCTACGTCCTGAAACGGCACATAGAAAGAAGACTGTAGGGCCTAATGACTATATTTTGGACTTGGCCCTACAGGATACAAAGGACGAAGCATAACACACAAATAACAACAACCAAATTAATCCATTACTGCACAATGTTGTATTCAATTTATAGCACTAATCTACCTTACGGATTTTTGCTAATCCTAAGGCTAAATTATCTTGGAAAGTTTGTTATCTCTCATGCATCGTTCAGTCATATATTCATTGAAACTCGTTAAATAAATTATTGTTTTTTTCTTACACCTTTTTTTCGGTGAGTATATGATGTGACTGTGAAATTACAAAATTTCGCTTATGATATAGACCCAGAAATTTGTTCTCTTTCTCCCTCTCTTTCTGATTGCAAGTAACAGTCTCTTTTTAGTCCCTATTTTCCTTCGTTGTTCACATGTTCTGTCCATTGTCTTATGGGTACTGGGCGGAAGGAAACCATCTCTCTCACTTCGATTCTATCCTTTATCTACAATCTGTGTCCCACACGAGATTAGAGTTTTGTGGGAGAAAATAGTCAATGGCGGGTTAAAATCCAAAACATTTTTTTTTTAAATCCAGGTTCGTTATTTCAAGGGTCATAAATGAGTTTTCTTCTTCAGAGAAGACCGAAGACAAAAAATTCTAGAGGCATCAATAAAAAAAGAGTAAAAAAAAAAAAACTTTATCCAAATCTCGGAGCGCATACCAAACTAGCTTCCCACAATACGATCTCTTGGTCGTCTAAAGTAGTGTCCTTTTTTGACTGAAAGAAAGATTATGATTGGTCGAGACTGGTGGGGAATCGAAAACACTTAGTATATTTCTAGGCCAACTAAAGTCGACACGCTCTTCTTTTTTTTTTTTTTTGACTATTCTTTTTTCGACCGATAGAACTGAGAACCCCCAATTATTTTTCGAATGAGGACTTTGTTATCTACACCGTTGCCACATAATATTTCAGCATTCGTTCATCTATTTAAGGAAAGTATTCCCTTTTTGAATTCAGAGTTGTCCTTTTCCTAGACCAGTTGACATCCAAGGCTATACAACCCAGTCTGTCCTGATAATTACTCATAGCTGGAGAGAGCAGAAGACCATTCATAACTTCCCCAAAGGTATTAACAGGCAAGTTCGAGCCGCTACCCACTATTTCACTGTGCTTCCTTCTATATAATTCTTTACGATGCTAGCCAATAAATGTCATGGCATTTTAATGACGTGTCTCAAAGATTTAAGCAGTGTAATTCTAGATTTTTTTTCTTTTTATTTGTTTGTCGATTAGGATTTACAGTAATGAAGTAATGAATCCGAAAACTGACTTCTCTGTGTCGTTTTACGTATATTTGTGTTAAAACTAAAATTCTGTGTTGAAATAAAGATTTCCCTTTCTTCTCTTTCACTTTCTAATTGTAGTTAGTTAAAGTATTTGTATACCGATTCATTTTTCAGCCATACAGAATTTGAAACTATTAATCATAGAGGATATTTAAAACAAACGGTTCAAACAATATCAGGAACGATTCATAGTAGAGCGTTACTGAATGATATATGTGATATAAATATAAGTGGTCAAAAGGCAAGGGGATTACGCGTGTAGATAGCGACTGACCTTTAACTTGGACAGGTGAATAATGTAGTCAACAAGTAGTAGTTCTTGCGAGAAAGCTCTCTGAGTATTACTTCCTTGTAACCAATGGTTGGTCTGTTGTCTTTGTTTAGCGGCATATCGACATTGATTGAGCTCTGGAATATTTATCTTATTTTCTTAGAGATAACAATGGTTCGCTGAAATACAAATCTTACTAATTAACCCATAGATGGGGAGAATTTGTACATTCAATCCTTTCCCAAGGATATTTGCGCGGAAATGAATATAACGAACCTAACAGTTAATAGAACTCGGCTATCCAACTGAGGCATTATCCATTACACGATCCGCTCACACAAGCTGACAGCGTCTGTTATTCCCAAAACGGTCACCCATTGAGCTACTGATCGGGCTGGACGTTGCTTAACTTCGGTGATCGTACGGGAACTGGTATATCAAAGTTACGCGGCCGTAATCGCGTAACAATTGGAATACGAAGAATGAATTTGATTCAACTCCATTAAAGTTTTGGGTGGGTGGGTGGTTGGTTTTGTTTGGTGGTATATCTACACCTCTATGGGTCATTTAATGTCGAAATCTAAATAATTTGAACACAATTGCATGCTGTCAATTACAAATAAAGTTTATCGTTATTCATTGCTGGTCAATTTACTATAAATATGTATTTCTACACTTTCATGGAGTTTGATTTTCGCTTGTGAGCTCACTATTTGCCCATAGCTGAGACCCTAACAATTGCTACTACCCCGGGTCAGGGTGGACCTGCGAACAACCGCGATCAAGAGGTGGTTTCACGCTCCTCTCCCGATGAGATGCCTTGATACCGAATGTCGTTTATCATCATACCCAGAATTACCGTTGACTTATCATGGTGTTACCGGGGTTTAAAGGTGGAAAATGACGAAGCTAAAGAATGAAGATCATCTGAACATTTGCCATGTAAATAGCGTCCGTGAAAAATTTCATCTGTCCCGAAAATACTGTGCAGCGGAAAATATATCACATCCTACAGGAAGGCGCAAAAGATGTTAAACTTCATGAAGCCTGCGATATGTAGATAAGCAGCTCCAGGGTATATACACGTTAGCTGCACTTCAGGTTTTTTCTCATATGACACTTGTAAAATTACAGCCTGGCAGATGGAGATATTAAATGATGGAATGGATAAGTTCTTCTTGATGTCCCTATCAATGTTCATAGCAAGGACCCTCATTTAGAGTGGAAGCCTTAATTTTGGTATGTGGGGAAGCTTAAGTTTTGCTAGGTGATAAATCTCACAAAATATTTTATTTTATTTCATTTGTTTGTTTAGTCTCATATCAAATACTTATGTATTATTTAATGACGGAATGGGAGATTTGAAGATGATTTTGATCTGAATGATTTGTTTGTTTAACGGCATATCTACTCCGTATGGGTCATTTTTTGTCAAAATTTAATTTTCTTGGGAACATTGAAGTTGATTTTGATTTGCTATGATTTGATTGTTTAACGGCATATCAACTCCTTATGGGTCATTTAATGCCAAAATTTAATTTTCATGGGAGATTTTTTGTTGGACCTTGATTTGATTTGTTTGTTTAATGGCATACCATATCCTTATGGTTCATTTAATGTCGAAATTTAATTTTTCTGGGTCCCTACCAGGTGCTACCACCTCGGATCAAGTTTGACCTGGGAACAACAGCAATTAAGAAGTGGTTCCACGATCTTCAAAACTTCCAATCTCCCGAATCAGACGCCTTGTTGCCGGATGATTTTGATCGTAATAACCAGGACTATTCACAAAACCTTCAGTCTGTTATTAACAGGGGCAAAGAAAGGCTTGTTTATTTTAACGCTTCTAAATCTAAACTGCTCTCCGTTAATAATCTGAGATGTCACTTTCTGCCTTCCATCAGCATGGTTCTAGCTAAATTCCAGAAGAGTGGCTATTTGCGTCTTCTCGGGTTAACACTCTCGCTGACATGAAGTGGAAAGACTTCATTAAATCCATTTCTAGATCAGCTACTATGTAATTTGGTTCACTGTGTTCTGCTAGACAATTTTTATCACCAGAATCTATCTTATATATCTATAGGTCTACAATTCGCCCACGCTTAGAATATTTGGCCCAGTTCCCCTACATTTTATAGCAGAATTAACAACAATACATTTTATAACAAAATGATCATCAATAGATTTTATCTATGTTTAGAGATTCATGAAATCCAAAAGAAGAATCAGCAAAATTATCTGTCCTGACCTGCCGTCTCGGCTTCAGTCACATAACTATCGTCGTAAAGTTGCTTTTCTGTGTCTTTTCTATAAATACTTTCATGGTAATTGTTCTGGTGACGTCTTACTTAGGGTACCCAGAATTTATGAATTTAAGCGCAGTACAATTGACTGGCATCGATATCTCATCAGTTTACAGTTTATCTGATTAGGTGTAATCGTAAGTTCTATGCTACCAGTTTCTGTATTCGAACTCCATGCTTGTGGAACTCCGCCTAAATTTGAACTTCAAATATTTAAATGCAATATCAAATATTATCTATTGTCTCCCTGATTACTCTTCTATTGCTCTCGCTCCTTCATCATGTTTTCTGTTTTCTCATTCTTCTCCACTCAGTAAACCATTGCGTCTTAGTGGCTTTATTGTCTTGCTTTGGGCAAATTCGATTTTTTAAAAAAGTGTTAGACAGTATAGAAAATTGCTGAGTACCTTAACTGGTCAATTTCCACAAAAGACACAGCAATTAGAAGAAAAGGAATGAATAAGAAAGGTACAAATATATATTTTTTAACAAATGATGCTTCAGAAGCAACAATAAAGGAAAAAAAACTCAAAAAGATAATATAGTAAATGTCCTGATTATATATATATATATATATATATATATATATATATATATATATATATATATATATATCATAAAACCGGGAGTTACATCTAAATTTAACTTGTTTTATTAATTCGAGATCATACAGCCTAAAGCCCCGCGTCGCAATTAGTTATGAACTATAGAATATTTTAATGCCCCGTAAGTGCTTCGACAACAAAAAAATTAAGTTTTAAATTCAAAGTTTTCCTTCTCCTAGAGGGGTTGCCAACCATGACAAATTTACGACTGAAAATTGACGCTTATCAGTAAATTTGCTGTTATCTTAGCCAGCTTTAAATTTTTCTGTTATATTAGTCAGCACTCAATTTGATGTTATATTAAACAGAAGTAAAGGAGAGTAGTAAATTTACTATTATGTTAACAAGCAGTATATTTACTGTTATCTTTTTCCATCAGTAAATTTACTGATATCAAAACAACCAGTAATTAGCAATAAGAGCTCTAGAATATTGTTAATGGCTCGTATGCGCTTCGACAATAAACCAGAACTAGTTATAAATTTAGAGTTTTCCTTCTCCTAGAGGGGTTCCCAACCATGGCTAGAGAGTCAAGTGTGCCCTGCTATTTAACTCATACCAGAAGAGAAAATGAATCAGTTCTCGAAAATATGGTCCAGCGTTGATCTTTCATCATTTGCAAGAAGATTTCTTTTATCCAACTGTAAGATTTGGGCGCAATGTACACTTGATTCAAGTTCACTGGTGCAAGATCAGATACGCATACTTGTATTTATAGTATCGACGAATAGACTGCGAGTTACAGATCAATATCTACTTAGAGGAAATTCAAACATCGAAACAATTTCTCAGAACAGGAAATTTGAACATTGCTCGCGAGCACAGTTTACGACTGGAAATTGGCGTTTATATTAGCCAACAGTAAATGTGATAATAACTTACGTAGTAGTATATTTGCTGTTATATTAGCGAGCAGTAAATTTGCTGATATCTTACCAGCAGTAAATTTGCTGATATCTTACCAGCAGTAAATTTGCTTTTTTTCTTCGCTAGCAGTAAATTCACTGTTATACTTACCTACAGTAAATTTACTGTTGTCTTAGGCAGCAATACATTTGCTGTTATCATGTTCTTGGAGTAAATTCACTGTTATCTTAGCGAGCTGTAAATTCACCGTTATCTTAGTCAGCAGTAATTTGCTGTTATCTTAGCCGGCAGTAAATTTACTGCTATCTTAGGTAGTAGCAAATTTGCTCATCTTATCAGTAAATTTGTTGTTATGTTAGCGAGCAGTAAACTTGCTGTTATTTTTTCCAGCAGGAAATTTTATGTTATCATAGGTAGCAGTAAAATGTTCTTTTCTCTTAATAGTAAATTTGATGTTATTAAGCCTGCAGTAAATTTGTGATTCTTAGCCAGCAGTAAATTTGCTGATAACACTGTACACATATTATGATATTATGTCGAAGATGGTGGAAATTATGTTTTTTGGATAAGTAAAATTTATTTGTCAGATTTTACCAAAATATATATATATACATCTAAAGACACCGTCATCGCTGCCGTACGCCAATGGTTTAGGGGTAAAATCTCTGTTTGGATCCCGGCTTGAGGCAATTGGATGTCTATCCACACTGAGTAGCTGTGAAACAGCGAAACACTGTCTGTGACATATATGTGTATGTGTGCGTTTGAGTGTATATATATATATATATATATATATATATATATATATATATATATTTTATTTATACCTACTTACCAGTTGCCTACCTACATACACCCATATATATATATATATATATATATATATATATATATATATATATATATATATATATATATATCCAATCTATGTGTATTTTTATTGTATTTTTACAATTTTCGGATAAGGTGTTGCGTATATCTTGTGTATTAACAAGAGTTAATATTTTGTTATTTTGTTATAGCACTTTCAACTTTCAGTCATTAACAAAAAAACAGTGTGTTGTCTGTGTGGTAGTTAGAATCCTTCTGTCTGCATCCTGGCAAACTTAGGGGTGGGGCTGGATATTTTTATATGGTCATTTTTTACGTCATGTGTAACGGCTATTGGGAACGAGACTACACAAAAAGAATCCGATTTATGTATTTTATATTTCTTTTTAATTTTCTGGTTTTAATTTTTTTTTTTTTTTATTTTATTATAGTACTGATAAAATATATGTGCGCACATTAATTATGTCATACGCATTTCAAGATACCTTCCGCCGCGGTGAATGATAATATATTTTATATAATGTAGGCTGTTAATTTTGTATGAAAATAGCTCCTTAGAATTTTGCGTCTTTCCTTGCATTGGGTGGTGTAGAGTATTTTCATGAGTATTTGTCTTATGTTGATAATTGTACGCTGGTTGTTCCTGATGTACTGATTGATGTGTGCACGTCTTACACCTAAGTTGGACAGGTGACTAGTCAATCTTCGAGAGAGTGTAGTGCATGTGTGTTCAATGTAAGTATTTAATGTTTGTTTTTATTAGCTATGAAGATGTAATCTCACAGGTAGCATGAGAATTCATAGACAACATTATTGATTTCTAAATATATATTGTTTT